AAACATTCGATAAGCGTTAACCTCATCAAACCGATAGAAGTGGTTCAAACAAAGGAAATACAACTGTCTTTATCTTATTTTGTCTTTGCACTTCGCTGCGGTGGTACCCTATTTCTGATGGCGATGCTACACAATGTTTAACGCTGATTTCATTTCATCTCTTGTTACGTCTTTATTTTCATGGGGCGTGTTTGTATTGGATACTGCATCGCGTTTGGTATACGAACGCCATCATCTTGATGCGTCAAAGGTTTTACTGCCGAACAGATGGACCATGTACCACATTTAAAAAAAATAAACCAAGAGTGGTCTTTGATATATAGTTCAAATCATATCTAGATATGGATACCTTTTAACTATTCACAATTAACTAATTTCAACTTTTCATAATAAAGTAATAATAATTCCAACGATTCGTAATGATCTATATGAAAAATTGTTTACTCAGTATTGCGTAATAGTACGTTATTGCGCAACAGCAAGGTATTGCGCAACATCATGGTTTTTGCGCTATTACAAGAAATAAATACATAATTCTGTTAACAAATTTCAATGGGGATTGATTTGAAGACTTCAATTGTTTGGGTTCTTACCGTTTAGGAATTAGGGGCACAAAAGTTGGGAACAATGATTTTCAAGTTTCCAGACAATTCCTTGAGTTTAAGTCATTTGATCTCTATAAAATTGAACCACAAGGTTCTGAAAACTGATATACTCAGTAGTGCGCAACAGCACGATATCGAGCAACAACAAGAAATCTTAAATTGAATATAAATACAAATCTCTTAAAAATTTTCAATGGGGGATTAGTTTAAAGACCTAAATTGTTCAGGTTCTTATCGTGTTTTCGATTATGATATTGGGCCCCGTTTGAAATTAGTCCACATTGAGGTCCAAAGGGTTCAAAATTGAACTTCGTTTGATTTCATCAAAAACTGAATCTTTGTGGCTTTATCCCAGATACGCTGAATCTAACCGTGTATTTGGATATTGGACCGTAATAGGTAAATGCCTAATTTCAAATTTTTAAATTCTTCTTTCACATTCAGTCTGTACCAAAACCCTATGCTGTGTCAAACATTTAATCACAATCAAAATTCAGATCTTTATCAAGCTTGAATTTTGTCTCTATATTTGCCCCTACTTTTCAGGGTTCGACCTCTGCGGTCTTATCAAGCTGCGGCCGGCGGATCATTTTATTTATATTGTTGGAGGTGGTGTGGTTTGAATAGTTAAACACTGACACAAGGCTATAATTCATAAAAACTTGAATTTGTGGAACTTTTATCACGAAACAGGGTATTTTACCATGCCACTGAGATTCAAATTGAATGTATATGTGCTGGTTAAAATTCAAGTTTGGTACTCTAATCAAGACATTAATTACGAAGTCCAATGTACAGGGACACGTCATTCCCTGTGCATGTAAAAGTTATATACATTTCATGTTGTTCATGTTTTACTGCTGTCTCAGGTTAGGTTTAAGGTTGGTGCGCCTGTCAACACGTTTAAACCCGCTGCATATTTTATATGCCCCTGTCCTAATGAGTCAGGAGCCTGTTGTTCAGTGGTTGCCGTTTGTTGCTGTGGTTCATATGTGTATTTCGTTTCTCGTATTTTATATTATATAGTTTAGACCGTTGGTTTTCCTGTTTGAATTGTTTTACACTGGTCATTTTGGAGTCCTTGATAGCTTGCTGTTCGGTGTGAGCCAAATCTCCGTGTTGAAGGCCGTACTTTGATCTATAATTGTTAACTTAAAATACATTGTTACTTGGATGGAGAGTTGTCTCATTGGCACTCATACCACATCTTATTTATATATGTAAATAACCGTCGGATTAATGGTCACCTTTGAACTTTTTTTCAAACAAAATCATTGGCATCAGCTATGCCTTTATTTTATACATTTAGGTTTTTTGCAATATGCAAGGATAACCGTCGGATTAATGGTCTTTAAAATTTTTATGTCTCAATTCTCATTTTTGGACATTTATACCTGAAATGATATCGTTTATTTTTATTTGCGGCATTATACCCGTTTATTCATTGGTTGCTTACTTTATGATACATGGTACAGGTCTGATGAGTTAAACCTTTTTAAAAAGTGATGCAACACTGTCCCAGGTTACAGGGATGGTTTGGGTCCAGCAAATACTTTTAACCTCGCTGCATATATACTATATGTACCGGTCCCAAATTCAGGAGCCTGTAATGTTAGTGCTTGTCGCTTGTTGCTGTGTGTTATATTTGTTTTTCGTTTATTGTGTTTTAAATAAGTATGGCTGTTGGTTTGTCCCGTCTGAATGTTTTACACTAGTCAAATATTGTCATGTATAGCTTACTTTGCGGTGCGAGTCAAGGCTCCATGTTAAAAGCCGTACTGTATTTGCAGATCATGTTGACTTTTAACAAGTAAACTTGCAATATTTCCAAAGCAATGGTATTGGTAAAAAAGTACACTTAGTTAAATGCAAACAATACAAGTATACTTTCAGTAAATGAAAAAGGTGAGAAACAACTCGACAAGTAAACATTATTAGCAAGGAAAGTGCACAAAATACAACACCACAAAATGAGAATAAACATTTTGTTCACTTTGTTAATATAAACTTGTAGAGAAGAAGTTATCCAGTGCACTTTTAGAAAGTAGACAGTTTAGAAAATAACTCCACTTGTAAACAAAATGAAGTATACAAGGTTTGTTATAATGGAACTATCAGACTAGTTGTAGTATGTAACAAGTGAACAAATACCATGTACACAATGCGAGTCTTTGCGTTTTGTTCACTTTGTTAAAGTAAACTTGTTCGAAAGAAATTAACAAGTGCACTTTTGGAAGGTCGCAAAGTTTAGAAAATAACCAAACAAGTACACAAAATTAAGTTCACAAGGTTTGTATAATAATGCAACTTTACCACTTATTTTTTCAACAAGTTGAGCTGAGAACTGATCAACTCGTGACTATTATAAGCCTCCATAGTTTCATTTTATTATGTGACAAGAATACTTAACTAAGTGACAAGTAGACTAAATTAGCTGACAAGTCGGCTTATTTAGCTTATTATGACGACTTAACTGAGTGACAAGTAGGGGCAGATATATGCCACCATAGTTTCTCATGTACTGTAAGCAATAGATCACCATAATTTGTTCTCTCGAATGACAGTACAGTGTGCCTGTCCGTCTACTATGGTTCAAATTACCTTGACCTCATTGTCATGGTTCAGTGGTTAATATTTACTTTAATTGCGTATGCCTATTTCAGAAACTACTAGCAACAGTTCGTACGCTATATGTTGTATATGATTGTAAAGCTACATGTCCATCTGACCTTGACCTCATTTTCATGGTCAATGGGTCAATATGAAATGTTCCTGGTTTTAAACGACTGTTTCGCTCTGATACTTTTAGATATAGGCCAACTATTTGTATTGGAACATTATAAGGTGTACATGTCAGTGTGGTTGTATTGAACAGACCATGACCTCATTACCAATGATCATTGCTTATGGTACCTATAGTAAAATGTTGCCTATACTTTGAAATTTAATCGAGATGATAACAACTGCTAGACATTTCAGCAGTTGCACTATTGTTTGTTGTTTTTTGGTTCATTATGAAATTGTTTGGCTTGTCGTTCTAGAGTTATTGAAATCAAACTGTTAGATCAATGGAAATGTTTTACATATCACTGATCACTACGTAGAGTATGCTCTGATCGATTAACTTTGATGTTAACAACGTAGCCAGGAATGGTAACGGTACATTTATATTAATCAAACAGAACAGCAAGCATAATTCATGATAAGAATTGAAAACAAATTAACAACACATATCAACCTTTCTTAACAGACTTTACCATGTATTTTGTAGCAATTCAAATGAAGTTCTTATACTAAAATCTATCCATCTATGAAATGAAAAGAGACTATCACCGTCAGATAAAATATGTTACATTTTACATTAAATTATTCAAAATAGAATAAATACAAACATCTGTATACCTCATTACCGCCAAATAAAGAAGCTACATTTTGTCATTCCGGCATCTTTCAACAAATTGGTTAAAACCTAATCAATACGCATTAAAACATAGGTTTGAAGAATAATCTTTTTATGTAACACAATATGTATAGAAAAAAGTATAGAAACAATACCGAACTTAAAGGTAAAATCAAAAAGGGGAAAGCACATACAAATGACAAAATCAAACGCAATCAACCAAAGGAACGAATAAAAAAAGAACTGTAATATTCCTGACTTGGTAGAGGCATTTTCCTTAGAAAATGGTGGGTTAACTCAATTTGTATGGCTGGCAAAACATTCATATTGTATGACAGTTGTTAACAGTTGCATTATATTGACAAAATTGATTGAGCACCCCAAACATACATATTTGGTTAATGTGACAATAATTGGGATCCAGCACGACTGTGTAAACATACATCACAGACATATAACACAACTGACTGAAAATTCAAACAAACATACGAATATATCTAACAAAGACGCAAAAAAAAAAAGAAGGTTGCTACAGTTAATAATAAAATCGGCTACATATATAAAACAATTGTGGTGACGAATACTTATGGTCGTTGAGGTGAACGCAGTAAAAACAAGCTCAAACCTTCATTTGGCATTTTTTTTGTGTGTAGTAACTAGATAGTTAGTAAATATAACCTCAGTCGATATTGATTCTTAAAAAATAGAGAAACAATAAGAACAATTGTCTTGCTATTCTGAAATATCTAAAATCTGGTTATATACACCATTTACGCTTGCAAGCGACTGTTGCAAGTCATGGCCGTTATTATATTCAATCACCATTTGATCCCAAGAACATCGTAATAAAAAAAAAATAGAAGTATAGATGAATTATTGGGAAGAATGAAGATTAATACTATTTTCATTCTTTGTCAATTGCTTGTTATCTTGTTATCGTGTAATACAGTTTATTTTATTCATTCAGATGTCTATGATATTATGCTCACCCAGTCTACATCGTTAATATCTGCACCTTTGACAAGATAATTCCTGACCTTTTCTAAATCTCCGGCATAAGCTGCGTCTTGGAGAGCCTGTTAAAAAAAAAAAAAAAAAACCAGGTATATTTCATTTAACCACTTTTTGTACAATAGTATCAAATATATTTTGTTTCTATCTTTGGTAATACAAATGCAATATTTGCCGATATTTTTACTGGTCTATCTTATGAATAGTATAGACTTCCTAAACGTTGAGCATTTATTTTCATCTTGACAGATATTGCATTTTATGCTTTATCCTTAAAGTTTTGTACACACAAGAGATGTTCGGAGCAACACGGTATTTGCTCGCAAACAAAATTACTATTACATTTCAAACAATTAACCTGCACATCAATTGGTTTACAATTAACAATCTGCTTACCTTATCAAAAGACTTTCATTTGTTTGAGATATGTCTTACGTTTGCGGCATATGCATTAAAGCCAATGATTAAAGTAAACACAACGTCCGACAAGTGTGCTACGATATCATTGTTTAAATGATATAAAACAGAATCTCCATTCGAAATTATATCAACGCGTGTTATAAATGTTTATTTTGTCTTCACTATGACAAATAAAGGCAACAGCAGTTGAACGAGGTTCAAAATATACAAAGGCTGTTGATCATCAAAAATGTAGTTTATAAAAAGAGTAGGAATTAAACAACTGGACATTCAAAACTAATAAGTCAAAGAGAAACGGACAACGCTATGGCAAAACAACAAAAAACTAATAAATAAATAACAAGTCTACACAACACTACAAAGAAAACTAAAGGCTAAGCAACACAAACCCAAACAGAAACCGATGATGACCTGAGTTAAATAAGGATGAATAAGCACACCATTTCCTTCTGGTGACACCGTCCTGTGAGAGAAATCATTAAGACAGGAATACAAATGAAGAGTAAAAAGATCCAAGTACAAAGTGGTATATCTAACCATTAGTCGTATTATTTGCAAAAAAAAAGCCCAACAAAAGATTTTAAACATTTTGTTTGAACGCTCTATTATGTTTTTTTTAGATGTCAGATATGTGATGATGTTGATCTTCATTAATTAAAGTGATTTGTCCGAGTCATGTCAACACCTGTATTTTTATATTAAATTTATCATCAAGGCAGTATCAGGAGTATTAGTCTTCAAAGTTGGGGGAACTCGTTATTTTGAGAAAATCAGAATATATCAACATATTTAAAAAAAAAACAAAATAATTTATTTGTATTTCCCAAAACTGAACGTTTGGGATGTAAACTTTATAGAATCAAAGAAGACATATATGACCTGACTAACTACCAATGCTTGGATAGCGTTTGTTTTAATTAAAATAAACAGCTGATAATAAGATATATGCAATTAGATATAAAGTCAGGTAAGGCCAAACAAACGTATTAAGAAAAATAATGCGTATTGTAGGATCTGGATTATCACATGTAAAATCGCCAATTACGTAATGAACAGGAAGGAAGAAATACTCGTTTATTTCCATATGTAAAGTAAGAAGCCTATTCGTTATTCAAAATTCAAATATTCTGAGTAAAAGATAATAAAGATTAATATGTGTTTAAAAGAAGTGATCAATCAGAAACTGTATCCCTAAAATAGGACATTTTATGAACATGTATGTATTTACATATATTCCGGAATTAAGTGTGGCGTAACTCGCTGCGTTGAAGAACCGTTGGTGATCATGGGCTGTTTTGTGCTCCATGGTCCGGTTGTTGTATTTTTGACACATTCCCCGTTTCTATTCTCATTTCTTTCGAACAATTAATGCTAGAACGGACATTTTCATTTGGGTTTAATATTAAACACATATTGCAACAGACAACTAGAAATGGCTTAAATGACAATGAAATCTTCGTATTCAATTATTTGGGTTATATTTCATTTCTAGAAAAATTTGTATTAATTTTCAATCGATAAAATCAATGGGTTTTTTGTATTATGATATATATTTTGCTTGAGATAATATGATATTGCTTTTTTTTTAATGAAAAATCTTACAAATAAATTACACGTCAGTATACAATTTGTAAATTTCGGTTAAATCTCTACATTCATTTATTCGAATGTAACACGGTATCAAAAATATCTAACCAATAAACTGATAAATAAAATAAAACATAATATTAGACAAAGAAGTGAAGTGAAGTCAATTAAAAACGTCAAGTTACATCAAATAGTCTGAATGGACAACATTTATCTTGTTAACATGTGACACCCGTTGTGTTTCTAACCAGGTATATCCTAGTGATAAGTCACTTCGGTTTAAATCATAACCTATGAAAATTGTCAGAAAATTTACGATTAACATAATTGGATTTATAAACAGTTTGAAATAACACTGGTTGCGGTGTTTGTGACGTGGTTGTTTAAAATCAAATCAGAACAATTTAAGAACTACCCCAGTTCAAAAATTAGGATTGTACTTTTGAGGTTATTCTTATATATTTTGGGTCAGACTATCAGAACAACTTTAAAGTAGCATTGTAAAAATGGGATGGGTCTGAAAGGCTTTTCTGAATTTGCCTTCATCAGAAATGCTTAAATCCAAATATTGCAAAGGCAAGGGTGTATAAGTACAGAATCACTGACCTAAATCATAAGTTTAACCACATTGTTATTTCCACAAGCCATTCTGTTCACTAACTACTTTGTCACTAGAGCATATTTGACAGGCACCAATCCATGCAATAAGTCATACATTCAAAAATGCAATAAATTCTATTATTATACTGTATGTCAAAATGCCAGATTTTCATTCGGTAATACGAGGGAGACAATTTACTCTATCCCATGGCAAATACTCTATTACCATTCACAGAGACGCTTGCTCAAGTTTGTGCTTTGATAAATACGGAGGATTGTTATGTACAAGACAACATAGTTTATAACTTTGAATTTGAAATTTAACAGCTGAACATTGAGTATAATAAATTAAATAACACATATCTGAGAGGGTGATAGACCAGATTGTTACTCCTCGAACAAACATTGTCAACCTTGGCTTCGCCTCAGTTGACAATGTTTTCTCGGGGTAACAATCTGCTCTATCACCCTCTCAGCTATGTGTTATTTATATAATGACTTACACGGGTAGTTCACACGGACTGGATTGAATGACAAATGTTTCTTTAAAACGATAGAAATATAGCCAATCTTATTTGTTTCAAATTACAATAATGTGAAAGAAATTAATTGTTAGGAGTGTTTATAATTATAAACTTTTCAAAATCTAACTAAGACTAATAATACTTTTCCACATCTTTGTAACATAAACGTAATAACATGTTTCTTCAAAAAATTTCGTTAACTAAGCTTTTTACAAAAAATGTTGTGAATAAGGCAATCATGCATTTCAAATGATAACAAAATACACAAAGCAGAGTAATCATTTGGACAGCATCCAACAACATCTTGAAAGGGTTTTTTTTTTTAATTAATTATAATTGACCATGATACTCTGTTTAATATAATGTAAAATAATAATAACGATAATAGGAAGCAGCGAACACAATGTTATGGAATGAAAACGACACTTTATAAATAATATATAAATGTATGCCAATCTTTAGCTAAAATCAGATATATTGAATAGGTCTATAAACTCGGATAAATTGAAATAAAACTGATGTTACGTCAAAACCTGAATTCGGAATACATTATAACTGATTTTCTTTTTAATGAAAAAGGATAACGCTTTATAACAAATACGAATAATAAGATTTCTCTCATTTGATAAAACCTACCCGATTTAGCTGCCAACTTGCCATCTTCTATCTGTAAAATAAACATACACATTAATTATGAGTGTTAAATCTTTTCAGAAAACCGTTTTAATAGCAACAATAAAAACAATTTTTTGTTTGTCAATCAAGACGCTTTGAGGAGCAGAACAATTACAGTTTAATCAAAGTATACAAATAATTGTGATGTTTTTTTTTCACTTAAAATTACAACAAACCGAAATGTATTACTATATATGAAAAGGGAGACAATGCAAGTAGTGTATTCTCAAAGATAATGAGTGAGTGAACACAATCAGTACCGTTGTACTACTTAAGAGCCAATCTGCCAGAAAACCATGCAAAACCGTCCGAATGTCACTTTTTCCAAATGAGTTCATATTTGGCATATTGGTGCACCTTAGTAATGTAAATAACCACACAAATTTTTTTGGGAAAATATTAAACCGATCTGGATATTTTTTGAGCGCCATGTTTTAACAGATGAAATTGCTCGAAAACAGCAAAAATAAGCCTTTTTTGGCATATTTCGCTGGTTTAAATAAAGAAATATGGTAACATTTATAATTTTTTGATAGTTGTTCCTAGTAATACATCACTGAAAGTGTAAGAATGCATAGAATTAACAATGCTGTCTATTAAGTGTATGTATAATCTAACTGTTTCAATATGTCTTATTTAGCTACATGTCCAAAATGGCTGATTTTGGTCATTTTTCAGAGCCAAAATACTCCAAGACCCGTTTATTATTGTAAAACAACTTATCCACTTGCAAAGTATAACTATATATACCCAATCAAAAAAAATTTCAAGCTCGGCAAATAATGTTGGTTTCTGGTATATGCCACAACAAAATGGGGTAACCTGCATATTCAAATTTTCTCAATTTTGCCGTCTAATTTGTAACTACTGACATATGATAGGATCTGGACTTATACATAAGTATAACAACAAATGGAAAAGAATAATTAATGTTTCATTTAATACATTAAGAAAATAATCATACATAAATACAAATTATTCATTATAAATCTAGAGGCTCCCAGGAGCCGAAATAGATCCTATTGACAAATTGTGCACCTAAAACGATAACAAACACATATTTCAAATGCAATCAATTTAAATTAGAAGTTAAACAATTCAGAATAAGTTCAGACTGTAAAAAAAAAGTTTCTTCTGACCACTTTTGCAATTTATTCTTATAATATATTGATATAGTTGTCGGATAGTAGCAGAAAACTGTGAAAATTTGTAAATTTACACATTTCAGGGACAATAGCTCATAGATGTTATGTCCAATTTTTCAAAAAAAAATTGGGTATTTAGATCTTGTCATGTTGATAGTTTTTATCAATATATATATATATATATATATATATTGAAAAGTTTTTAAATTTTGTATACATATATATATATGTATGACACTTCTTCTAAAGTTATTAAGATGATGGTTTAAAAGTGAAAACTGTAAACAGATGATTTTAACAGACACTTAGTGATGGAAATTTTTTTATGACCCTTTGAGCCTAGTATGCTAACAAGGGAAGATTTGCCAGGTACCTATATCTAGGTTGCTGCAATGTGGTCAATACAAACATGAAAATCATAAATGCTTCTAAAAAAAATTCCATAACTAGACGAAAAACAAATTACTTAGTCTATATATACCAGTGCAAAATTTATAAGAATTTTGAATGAAATTGGATAGCTGTTAAGATTACTGTACCTATAATGCTCTACATCACATCCTCGGAGATAACAGAATTAAAATAAGTCATGAATCTTCAAATTTCAATAAAGTTGAATGTGTTTTTTTTATACTTGAACGGCTATAGGATTTACTATAAAACAAGTGTACATTAACTTTCTTGTAAAAGAAAAACCATAACATTAAAATCTCCATAAATGATAAACTGTTATTTTTTGAGACATCATCCCATGGAAGATTTAACTGATGTTTTAAAGTTGGAAAGTTTCTGTTGCTTGTTTGGTTGGTTGAAATTGTTTCTGTTAGAAGCATTATCAGTCTCCCAATCTGATGTTGACTGTTGTGAAAGTTCAGTTGTTGTTGACACTGACAGAAAGGTTAGCTGCGAGTCTAGATCTGAAAACCACAAAACATACATACATAAATCAGGCTGTTAGTTTTCATTTTCTTATTTTGGGGCCTTTTATGGCTGAATATATATGCAGTATAGGTCTTGCTCATTGTTGAAGGCCATATGGCATATGAAGACCTATAGCTTTACTTCTATGTCATTTGTTCTCATTGGCAATCATACCACATTTTTTTTTAATTTCATATATACCACTGACAGGAAATAAAATTGACAACTTTTACTGTAAGTGGATGCAGTTACAAAATTCTCCCAACTTAAAGCCAAATCATTTTTGCAGAATAGTTATTATCCACTCCTTTTAAGCATGTCCAAATAGCCCTTAACATCTTTACAACAATAAAAATTGCCTCCATTTGGATTGGCATGTCAAATTACCACTCAATATAATTTTACATTGAAAACAGACAATGGTGATAATTTGACCGCTTTTAGTGACAATCTTTGAAATGGTGGCCATCTTTATATCTGTTCTCTGTGTCAAAGTACAGCTAAATATCAATATTCTTTAAAATCAAACTCAACAAAATTGAAAATTTAACCCTTTATTTGCTGTGTCCATCTTTAAAAAAAAATTTCATTGTTTTGTTGGCATGTCAAAAGTGCTATAATTCCTTAATGTCAATTTTCATATAAGGCCATCTTGAAAATGTTTGCCATTTTGGAAGAAAAAACAACCTTACTTTGTTTAGCAAGTCAAACTACCACGACTATCCCTAATTAACAATTTTCATTAAATTAACCAGTGTTGAAATTTGTGCCATCCTTGGTGGCCATCTTGAAAATGTTTGACATCAGATAATCATCCACATATTGTGCTTTTCTTTTCACTAAAGTTTCATTAAAAAAGATAACACCAGTTATCTCAGAAAAGGACAAATTTTGTGGAAGATGAAGAAAAAATGCTATAACAGCTCTAAATTTGTAATGGGATTAAATATATGACAAAGAATAGGTTTCTAACACAGAATAAATATGGTATAAAGATAAAGTTTAATAGATTCAGCATATCAGAGAACCCCAAGATCAAATTAAGATTTGAAATTTAGTTTAATTTTGGACCCTTTGGACCTCAATGTAAACCAATTTCATAATAGGGCCCAAAAACTAAATACAGGTTAGATTCAGGCTGAATCAGCATCTTTAAAATTATTGTTGAAATCAAACACAGTTAAATTATGGACCCCATTTGAACCAACTTAAAAACTGGGACCAAAATCATAAATCTAAGTACATATTTATATTCAGGATATTTGAGTATTTCTATTTATCATTCAAAGAACCCTAATTCATTGTAATTAGAGTTCAAGTTTTGTTAAAATTAAACTAAGTTAACATTTGGACCCTTTGGACTTTAAAATGTGGACAAATTTGAAAACCGGACCAAAATTAAAAATCTAAATATAAAACATTTGCATTTTGTATATCAAAAGAACCTCAAGAATTCAAGTTGTGTAGAAATAAGAAAAAAAATTTTGGACCGTTTTGAAATCAATGTGAACCAATTTAAAATGGGGCCCAATTGCAACATCTTGAATTATTTAAATACATTGTTAGATTTAGCATATTAAGAACCCAAATAATGTATTTATTTTAATTTGTTCTTGTCCTAAACATGCATGAACTATTTGCCATTGGACATTAGCATTACCAACAACCAATCAATTAATCGAACAGGTGAAATATCTTCAAAAGTACCAATAAAAATCTCCCCCTTTTATATTTGAAAAAGTAAAATCACAAAAATACTGAACTCCGAGGAAAATTCAAAAAGGAAAGTCCCCAATCAAATGGCAAAATCAAAAGTTCAAACATATCAAACGAATGGATAACAACTGTCATATTCCTGACTTGGTACAGGCATTTTCTTATGTAGAAAATGGTGGTTTGAACCTGGTTTTATAGCTAGATAATAAACCTCTCACTTGTATGACAGTCGCATCAAATTCCATTATATTGACAACGAGTCTTGAACAAAACAAAAAGACACAATAGGTAAAATTGTCAAAAATAGGGGTACAGCAGTCCACATTGTGTTATCATCTTAATCACTATAAAAACAAACAAATGTAACGAAGAAGCACAAAAAGGCATACATCAAATTTAACATCCTCATTTTGCTTATATTATACGATTTTATATATCTATGTTAAATCCACCCATAAAGGATGGAAGGTTTTAAGTACTGGCGTAAAATCGCGCGTTTGAAATTCGCACAGGTAGACATAAAATAATTTTGTCGTTCAAAGTATGACAGGATACATAAATATAGAGTCACGTAAAATGGATATCACAAAAAACTGCTTAACAGTAAAAGTAATACGTATTAATAAATAAAATAATTGAAATGGAACGTATGAACAGTTCATTAGTCATTGTTAGTTATTGAATGGAAACTATAGGAGCCGCCCAATATAGTACTACAAATTAAAATTAGCAAAGTGATTTTTCAATGGGAAAACCAAGTTAACAAAGACCTGTTTAATAAAACTGATGTACAAATGTATAACATGTTATTGTATAATTATGTTATTATATAAGTGATTACATATACTTTGTATGATTACCATGTTATACAAACAGTTAAATTAATATATAAGTTAATAATAACTTACCAATATCTTCTTCTATACATGTATTTAGTTTGACCTGGCTATTGCAACTTTTACAAAAATTCATCTTAATTGAGCATTGCTTGCATATATATATAGCCCTACAAAATAAAAAGTGTTAAACTATAAAATAATTCTTCAAATTTGTTTTACATGAAATAAAATATATCAGACAGGAAATGTAGGGTAGTGTAGCATCACTGTGCATGTAGTTTAAATGTATGTTTTTTCTTTTAAAAAGGGCTCTATAAGTAATCTACATACATGTACATGTAGGGTCCTAAAATTGAACTTTACAAAAGTTTGCAATGCTTTTGATTTTTTTAGTCTCCATGGCCTATTAGTTCATTAAAAAAATATTATTCTCTGGATAAAGTTGTCTAGTGTTACATGTACAGTATGTTGTATGTAAAACATGTATTTGTAGGAGGCTTTTCCACGAGATAAAAGTTTTTTCAGTAGACAAAGAGCTGAACAACTTCCAGTAAGAACTGAAAATATAACTTAGGGGAAGAGAATAAAAACCTGACCTGCTAAACGTTGATTATGTTGAAATAGATTTTGATTATTATCATGATTCTGGTCTATAAATTGATTTTTTAAAGCAGAAAATAAATATATATTGTACTCTGGTTAATAGCTTGAAAATTAAAATTCTGTCCTAAGCTGACATGGACATAAATATTTTGACCATTCTAACCCTCCCCCTTGCTTTTTTAATCAAATGGTCCCAAGACAGAACAATGTATATACGGATATATATTATTTGCTTGCACTTTGCCATAGGAAATAAATAAGATGTCTTAGAAACAGGTCAGGTGTAAAAGAATATTCACATGCCCCTTCAACACCCACCCCCCCCCTTTTTTTAATCTAGCTAATGTATCAATTGTTGGTCCCCTAATTTCAGATTGACTATATGGAACAAATGAAAATTGATTGTAAGATTTGTACCTGTTCCTACTGGAATAACTCGTCCTGTATACAGCCTGTTTTGAAAGGGTGAAGATCCTTGGTCAGTTTTGGCTTTGCTGGAAGAGGGTTGGACGAGCTGTTGACATCTTGCTTGATTATCATGTCAATGAATTCCATAAAAGTCCCTGTACTTCGAGCATATTTAAAGACAAGATGATGTAACAACCATGGGAAAATAAACCACTCCTTGTCTTATATAAAATAAGGAGTCCTGTTGGAAATTCTACACCATAGTTTTCAGTATTATTCAGACTTCCTAAATGTAGATGAATGGTAGTCTGTATCTGTATGAATATGTTTGGTTACCAATGCTGGTTTCAATACCACGGTAGAGAGAGTGTCGTTGATTTATTGATGGTGCGCCAGAGCAGTTTTGACACTCTCAATCTCAATTTTGGTGCGAGCAAGGTGGTTCCACTCGCTCACTTTTTTTTTTTACGAAGAATGATTTAGAATACTTTTGTTTTGCTCGTTGAAATCTAAAAACACTTTTTGCTGTTCATGGACTTATTTTTCCAATCAATATTTATAATGTTTATTCACTAAATTATTGTCATGATTGTCAAATTTCTTGGCAGTAATTATTTTTTTTGGAAATGCTGTTTTGGTCTTTAGTGCATTCAGATATCTTAAATAGTTTGTAATATGTAGATGTATAAGGCTGGGATAGCCCACATGCTCATCCTAGGTTATTAAAGTCACAAACTTCACGGTAAACATTTGTCTGCCAAACCATCACTGGGAGCTGACATGTTTCAGATCTTACCCAAGGGAGATAAGTCAATGGAAGAGCATAAAAGATGGACTCCCTGGTTTCAGACAATTTATTGATTTTTGGACTTGCAGTACAAATACGTCTTATTTCATTTTTCAGACAAATTGATTTTACTTGTTCGAATGATTTTATGAGCCATTTTAGTACCAATTGTGTTTAGAATTTAATTAAAATCAAAATCAAAATGTGTCAATTTGGGACTAAAATCACCATTCTTCCAAGGCATAAATTAACATATAATAGTCATTTGCCAAGCTTAATATTTTGTTTTGATATAAAACATACCCCATAGTTAAAACCGATATAAGTTGCAAACAAATTCGGAATGGGTCTTGCAAGATAGAAGCGAATGAAAACCACGTAAATTCATGTATGAAAAACCCCGCCTTTGTCTCCCTGCTCCTGGCAATGTGCCAAATCGTTTAAATTTTCATTTGTATTGATCATAACATAGTAAAATGGATGAGTTTCAGCTGACATTACTCTAAAAACTCAACTACCCCATTTAATATGCTTCTGGGTCATTCTTAAAAGGCATAAAAAAGTTGGATTTTTCCTTGGTTTCATTATGAATTTACAGAATTATGCAAATGAGGCTGTTACTAAAAATAGATACGATTCTGGGAAAAATTAAGTGGTCAAATTCTTTTATTTTATGTCAAGGATTAAGATGATGTATAAAAATTTGTCAAGTTGTGATTGTCGATTTGGACGATTTTCTGAATATTGCATGGTTTTCTGGCGGATTGGCTCTTAAGAAAGATCTGACGGGTCACTCATGACTTATTACTTAAGTTTGCATTTCTATACTTAGTCACACTATTTATAATTTTTATCATAATAGCATTAACTATTGAATTTTTATTTGACATCAACCATATAAATTATTGATTTATCAGCAAATATGGATGATGGAACTAAAATGAAACTAGACCCTTTTAGTTTTATGCGACGGACATCGAAGAAGTCATGAATTTCATTCTCCACAATGTCATTGTAACGTAATTTACAAAATCTGTTGTTTAGAGGTATTACGTTGTGTCTTCCTTTTTCTATTTCAAGTTCATGAGCACTGATTCTAAATTTGGTTAACTCATTATTGTTTGACAACATTTTTTTAATAGAAAATATTTTTCAAGACCAATATCATTTTAAAACAATCTATATTCTTTACAAAGCACAAAAATGTCGGCATTCACCTCAAAAGCTAACCAAACCTGTAAACAGACTTATTCGGAAAGGATATAGTTACGATACTGTTGTCAGGTCATTAAGAATTGCATATTCTGGTTTTAGTATTGATTCACTCATAGGGTCTTTGCATCGGAAATAAACAATATTATTCTAAAACCAGTTGTTGGCATGATACGGGCTATGTTTTTCTCATATATGTTATGATGGTATGATACTTAACCCCTAACGGGAGGGATTGTACTTGATTTTCATATGATGAAGACATAATCTTTCAATCAGTTTAATTGAGGTCTGGAGCTGGCATGTCAGTAACTGCTAGTAGTCCTTTGTTAATTTATGTCTCATTGTCATTTTGCTTAGTTTCTTTTGTTACCTATTCTAACATCGGACTCGGACTTCTTTTGAACTGAGTTTTACTGTGCGTAATGCATTGTGTTTCTTTATTCTACATTGGCTAGAGGTATAGGGGGAGGGTTGAGATCTCACAAAACATGTTTAACCCCGCCGCATTTTTGCGCCTGTCCAAAGTCAGGAGCCTCTGGGCTTTGTTATATATATGTTTTTTTTTTAATTTTAGTTCATTTATATGTTTTGGATTTTAGTGTGACGTCCATTTTCACTGAACTAGTACACACTTTTATTTAGGGGCCAGCTGAGGACCACCTCCGGGTGCGGGATTTTCTCGCTGCGTTGAAGACCCATTGGTGGCCTTCGGCTGTTGTCTGCTCTTTGGTCGGGTTGTTGTCTATTTGACATATTCCCCATTTCCATTCTCAATTTTATAACATGTATAAGTTCTTAATTTAATTCCTTGCACAATGCCAAGTTTGTCATTATTTTAATTGATAAAACAAAATTCATCATATTTAATTCTGAGTCTTTTTCTGTTAATTGACCTTATATACAATTTGTGATTAAACAAATATTCTGGTGTTACATTAAAATTTTTAATAATGTATAGGTGTTACTCAACCAGTTGTCGCTACATTTGTTAAATTCTTCAGATGCCTCTTTAATGAGGAAGTTATTTTGTTCTGATAGTCTGACCATAAATATAGACTAAAGAATAACCTAAAGAGGGTATTGCCCGTTACTGCTATGTTAGTTGATCTTCTAGGTGCCTGTAGATAATATTTACAAAATTTAAAAAGCAATTTTTCAATAACTAAATCTTTACTGATTTGGAAAAATAGTTATTTCCTTTTGATTGTAACTAATTTTGAGAGAATTGTTACTAATTTTCTTAGCCATAAAATAAAATTAGCTTCAGTATGAAGACGTACTTTAACATAAAGACCGGTTGGCAAAAATAAGTGATCAAATATACCAGACAAATGTTAGTACATACTCATTTGTGGCGCTTGCATCAAAACAGTTAACATGTTAAGTCAACTAGGAAGTTGAGCAGCACTGAAAACCTCTAGTTTCAAATAATTAGCGAAATGCCAAAAAATGACTTGAAGTAAAAAACATATTGGCATTTCGAATGATGCTTAATATTTTGGAACATAAAGTTTACAACACCGAGGATTCATCAATATTTGTAGGTTAACAGCATACGTGGTTTTCGTGGATAAGGCAATCGACGATTTTTAATACTGGGTAAAATTAAATATGTTAAGCTTCTTTGATAGGTATATCAAGTGTTTCTTTAACCACAAACATGGATTTCAATATGATATACAGTTACGGCTTTCTTAGGAGGAGGATAATAAAAATTGTCAACCCTACTGAGGGTTATTTTCCCGAGGGTTTTCTTCCGACAAATAGAGCCGTTACTGTTTTATTATACCGAACAAATATTAATCTCATTGGCGTCGAATACTACATAGGAAAAATTGCAACATATGTTTTCATATGTTTAACATATGTTTTTCATATGATTGAAAACATATGTAAACATATGTTTAGGCCCGACATGAAAACATATGTTTTCGAACATATGAAAAACATATGGAAAACATATGAAAAACATATGTTTTTAAAATCATATGAAAAACATATGTTTTTAAAATCATATGAAAAACATATGTTTTTCATACATGTAAACATATGGAAAACATGTTTTTCATATGTTTTTTACAAACATATGTTTTTCATATGTTTTCATACCTGGCCTTAACATATGTTTTCATATGTTTGTCCTAAACATATGTTTTCACATGTTTGGCCCAAACATATGTTTTCATATGATTTAATCTTGGTCCTAAATATATATTTTTTATATGTTTTTAATTGTTCAAATGCATTTATTTTCTCATAGATTCTAAACATGGTTTGTATATATATGTATTTTTTTTTTTTGCGGTAGGTTTTTTAAAGTTATGTTTTGATGCTTTAATATGTTTTTCTTCGTTATTTTTTTTTTTCTGTCAGGAACTCATTTTGAGTGTAAATACTTCAGTGTGGTGAGTTGTTGCTTTAAAAAGTAAATAACCCAAAATACCAAACTCCACAGAAAATACATGGCAAAATCAAAAGCTCAAACAAATAAAAAACAACTGTATACAGGCATTCCTTTATGCAGAAAAATAACAGTGCTCCATAATTTTTATATCAAGTAGAATTCTTTTTTTATTAACTTGTTGTCTCTTCTATTTTCATATTTTTGTCTCTTTGACATACCACATTTCTATTGTCTAGTATATTTTATTTTGTTTTGTTTGTCTCTTCGACATCCACCATTTCTATTGTCTATATTCTATTTTCATATGTTTCTCTCTTTGACATGCCCCATTTCTATTGTCTATATTCTATTTTCATATGTTTGTCTCTTTGGCATACCCCATTTCTTTTGTCTGTATTCTATTTTTAATATTTTTGTCTCTTTGTCATACCCAAATTCTATTGTCTACGTTCTATTTTCATATGTTTGTCTCTTTGATATACCCTATTTCTATTGTCTATATTCTATTTTCATGTTAGTCTCTTTGACATACCCCAATTTTATTGTCTATATTCTATTTTCATATGTGTGTCTCTTTGACATACTCCATTTCTACTGTCTATATTCTTTTTTCATATGTGTGTCTCTTTGACATACTCCATTTCTATTTCCCTATGATGTATGTGATATTTCTATTGCTATATCACCATACACAGATATTTAATTGTCTCAACTGCTGGCTATTACTGGTGCATGTGTATGCAGCCGCTTTTTTGGAAATATCCTGTATGATTAAGAAAGATAACTAAATTGACTTTGAGTTCAATATTGTATTAATCCAAAATTAATGTTCTTTGGTTCTGTTTCTTTACTTTTCAGTTCCTGCAAGTAAACATAAAAGAACAGAGTTTCAATGTCCACCTAGTCGTACATTTTTTACCTATCAAGGGGCAATATTAAAAAAAAACCATGTTTTTTTGTTCTCAAAAATATTGATAAATAAAAAATGTGCTTGGGGGAAAAAAAGTTCTTTTTCTTGTATACTAAATATTTCAAACCGACCTTCAAGGGCATTACTATAATAGTATACTACATGTATAAGTTTAATAAAAAAAAAATGAGAGCATTTACGAGGCCATTTTCCATAAATTTATTATTTCCAAGGGGCAAAAAAGTTGAAAAAAGTTGATCGGCCAAATTTATAAAACTTGACTAGGATTATGCTGATATTAACCTATAGAATAAGTTTTAAAAAATCTGGCAAGAATTGTACCTGCAAGACAAATATAAACACCCTACAATTATTCCATAAACATTAAAGTAGTTCACCTATACTTTTAGTATCTAAAAAAAAGACCAAATCAAGAGAAATTTAATACTGACCAATGAACCATGAAAATAAGGTTAAGGTCAGATGAAGCCTGCAAGATAAATGTAAAGTTTAACCTAAACACCTTACAATTTCAATCTACAATCATTCCAGAAACCAAATATAGTTCACCTTTACCTTATAGTATCTGGAAAACAGACTAAGCAAGAAAAAGATATCCAATGAACCATGAAGATGAGGTCAAGTTCGGGTGATTACTGTCAGACCCACTGGTGGCCTTTGGCTGTTTTCTGCTCTTTGGTCGGGTTGTTGTCTCTTTGACACATTCTCCATTTCCATTCTCAATTTTACATCAGTACACCTTACAAACATTCCATACACCAAATATAATTGACTGAATGCTTATAGTATCCAAAAATTAGACCAAAACATAAAGACTTATTACTGAACCATTAAAATGAGGTCAAGGCCAGATTACAACTACCAGTTGGACAACTACACCTTACAATAATTCCATACACCAAATATAATTGACTGAATGCTTATAAGTATCCAAAAATTAGACCAAAACATAAAAACTTATTACTGAACCATTAAAATGAGGTCAAGGCCAGATTACAACTACCAGTTGGACATCTACACCTTACAATAATTCCATACACCAAATATAGTAGACTTATTGCTTATAATACCTGAGATATTGAATTGACCACGAAAACTTTCTGACAGAGTAGACAGACACTAGGACCTTGCAAGATATCCACATACGAAGTAAATATAAATATCCTATTACCATGAATACTATAAATAATATTAATAAGAGAGAAATTATGAGAGAAATTAACATTACAAAAAACCTTTATTTTTTCAAGTAATCACTGAACCATAAAAATGAGTTCAAGGACAATGGACAGTTGACTGACAGAAACTTCATAACATACATATGCATCTATAGACATTGTACATAGTATGAAGCATCCGTGTCTTCCACCATCCCTATGTCGAGCTTTCTGCAGCGGAAGTCGCAAGCTCATCAAAAAAACTAAGCCCATTTATTAGTTCAAATACGGAAAAATGAAAAAGAATATTTTCAAAATTTTGCCTTGGATACTGTAGTTTGGTCATTAAGAAGCTTCGAATATTCTGTCTCAATTTCACAAAATCCCATGTCTGTTTGACAAAGTTATCGATGTTCAAAAAAAATTTAACCTCAGACTGAACCTAAATTTTAGGACAGCGACGCCGCCTCTGGCAGAATCTAGGATCACTGTCTCGCTTTCGTGAAATAAATTTGCAAGCTTGACAAAAAGCAGAACATGTATTTCAGATATTGAAATTCTAAGCAATTATAAATACTTATATGCTGTTATGGTCCTACATATTCTTGTGTGTTCAATATTTTGGCATTACACAAAGTCATGCTTTCTTAGACTGTTTGAAATGACAAATGTTTTGTTGTTACATTAATTGATTAAATCTGTCGAAGGTGAACTGATAGATATTTTAGTTTGGGAAAACATAACTTTTGCATCTTTTATTATTTTGTTATTTCTTTTTAAGTGCTTGTTGATGAGTCCAGCCCTTTCTGGCTGATTCTGACATTTGGTTTTTATGTTGGGTGCTGTCTGCCATACAGTGTGTAGTTTTATTTTTTTCATTGGTTCACATTTTTTCATCCTTATACAAGTTATAGCCATAATAGATTACTTTATGGTATGGATTTTGATCATTGTTTATGGCTGTGCAGTGACCAGCAAATGTTAACATCTTCGTCCTTTGGTTTTTTAATTGATAGTTGTCACATTGAGAATCATACATGTACCTCATCTCCTTATACATGTTATATCTATATATATATATATGCTGGTTCATAAAAAAAACTTAAAGGGAAATTATTCAATTGTTATACATGTATGTTTAAAAAGTCATTCCTATAATGCAAAAACAATAATTGATTGAATTTTCTTGCTTATTTTAATGTTCAGTGGCAAATATTTTATGTATATTCAAGATGAGAACAACTTTTAAATACACAATTCATAATATAAGCAAATGCTATAATTATTTGAACTTCTGACATCTCATGCGTGTGTGTGTGGAGCAGAAGAAGGAGAGCAGGATAAGGATTTCTTGATGCATACTTGACATCAGAAAGAAATAAATAAACAACAGTATACATGCCGTAACATGTACAATTACACTTGAAAAAGTTTTCAATAGATAACATTAAATTATTTAAATTAACTGCAATTCTACAGATGAACTTACTTTGATACCAGTTCTTTTTGCCGGACATCCGCATCTACATGTACACCAGTGATTCTAATACTGCACTTTCCTTTAATTTGGCAACCATGGTAATAAGCTAAAATTTTAAATCTTAATTTAATCCAGAACTCCAGACAAAAACTAGATCATTTTTGTAGATGAAGTATGAACTGATGCTCAGAGAGTCACTAATTTATATTTTTACTTTTGATTGAATGGAAAAAATGTGTAAGCAAACAACAAAAAGATCAACAGCGTAACTAATATTAACTAGAGGCTCTAAAGAGCTGTGTCGCTCACCTTGGTCTAAGTGCATATTAAACAAAGGACACAGATGGATTCATGACAAAATTGTGTTTTGGTGATGGTGAAGTGTTTGTAGATCTTACTTTACTGAACATTTATGAAAATTGTATAAAATTGACTATAAAGGGCAATAACTCCTTGAGGGGTCAATTGACAATTTTGGTCATGTTGACTTATTTGTAGATCTTACTTTGCTGTACATTATTGCTGTTTACAGTTTATCTCTATCTATAATAATATTCAAGATAATAACCAAAAGCTACAAAATTTTCTTAAAATTACCAATTCAGGGGCAGCAACCCAACAACGTGTTGCTTGATTGGTCTGAAAATTTCAGGGCAGATAGATCTTGACCTAATGAACAATTTTATCCCTGTCAGATTTGCTCTAAATGCTTCGGTTTCAGAGATATGAGCCAAAAACTGCATTTTACCTATGTACTATTTTTTAGCCATGTCGGCCATCTTGGTTCACGGGCGGGGTCATCGGACACATTTTTTAAACTAGATACCCTAATGATGATTGTGGACAAGTTTGGTTAAATTTGTCCTAGCAGTTTCAGAGGAGAAGATTTTTGTAAAAGATTGCAAAAATTTACGAAAAATGGTTAAAAATTGACTATAAAGGGCAATAATTCCTTAAGGGGTCAACTGACCATTTTGGTCATGTTGACTTATTTGTAGATCTTACTTTGCTGAACAGTATTGCTGTTTACAGTTTATCTCTATCTATAATAATATTAAAGGTAATAACCAAAAACGGCAAAATTTCCTTAAAATAACCAATTCAGGGGCAGCAACCCAACAACGGACACATTTTTTAAACTAGATACCCCAATGATGATTGTGGCCAAGTTTGGTTTAATTTGGTCAAGTAGTTTCAGAGGAGAAGATTTTTGTAAAAGTTAACGGACGACGGACGACAGACGAACGACGGACGCCAAGTGATGAGAAAAGCTCACCTGGCCCTTTGGGCCAGGTGAGCTAATAATATATGTATAGCCTAAGCCCGTCTTAGTTTAGTATGAACTTTTTCTAATATAAAATCATCTATTCTGCTGTCTACAGTTTAAAAAAAACAACATTTAGGCATTAACTCTTGATGTCTATTAAATCTTGATTTCTTGTTACATAGGCAAAATTGTTTAAATACACAATTTAAAGGCATGTAGTGGAATCTCAATAAATACTCATGATTGCAATGTAAGTTTAATCGTTGTTGTAGCTATGAAATCTATACAATAACGTCATTCACTACAGCATTAGGGTTACAACGTTACCATAGTTCAATGTTAGTACTTCACGTATACTATTTTCAGACAAGGCAATATTAACTCATGAACATAATATGTTGTCATTTGTGTTACCATCCATACTTCATGCATTAAATAAAAGAATAGCGCTTCAATGTACCTCGCCAATTGATGGATATATAAAATTTGCTGTCAAAAAGCAAAAAATATGTATGTTCTTTTAACCTTTTTCATAAAATATAAATAATCTAAAAGAAACAAAGACATGTGTGGGATTGCTTGCAATGCAGTTTTTCTTACAATATCTATTTCCAAGAGGTATAACTACTGTAAACATATTTGATCAGCAGTTATTTTCTAACTCATAAAACTAAAAGACCATGCTGATATAGACCTATGGTATGAATTAGAAAAATATCTGACAAAAAAATGTAACCATAACAGTGCTTTACTGGTTATCTTCCATAGAATTTACATTTCAAAGTGAAGTAATTCCTGTATAAATAATTTATCCAAGACATTAATGGCATATAATAAACCTTTGGTATACATTAATATCATATGAATAAACTTTAGACATAGAAGTATGTCTTCTCTGTATGAAATCCTGTTAGTAGATTTCAAATGTTGATATTATAATGACAATGCTTAAACATCCAAAGTCACACACCATCCATGACCTGACAAAGTTTCAAAATCAATAGACCATGACTGAGGGGCTGGGCAAAATAAAAACAAGGGATATGAAATGCGCTAGTACTCTGACATATACAACTGCATACCAAATATCAAAGATTTATCATTATTGGTTCACTCAAACTGACCTAATCAGAAACTTTTCACATTTAAGTTAAGTAAAAATATCAAAGTCAATCAACCATGACTGAGGGATTTGGACCATATAATCTCAAGGGAAATGGAAATGAGAAGTGGATATCCTACTTCTACTGCAAAAAATATTATTGACTTATTTAACCATAACACGGCCATAACTTATTGTTTGGTTCCTCTTAAACTGACCTAATCTCAATTTTTAACAAATTGTTTATGACTTCGCCTCTGTTAAAACAGCATGCCCAAGACTCACTTTCATGACTGTTGTTGCAAGACAAAAAAAGAACAAGCAATGAAGTGTTAATAGAGCTTCCAACGCTATTTTCTATAAAATTGACCTGTAAAAAAAAATAATTTGTCACTGCTTATAGAAATAGCCCACAACAAGAAATCAAAACTTTCAACTCTATCATGTCTTTGACCTCAAAACTTGCAACATGTATACAGAGTCTGACAACAACAAAATATTTAAACAAAGTTATCCTCTTCATTACATACCTCTCATCACAAAATTATTCATTGACTACTGCTCCTTTTATGCACATAAATCAATATGACAATCTATGAATCCATTATATAATCTAGAAAGCAATGCCTCAAATGAATTCTGTTCTGTTGCTTAGATTCTTCTACTTCTTGAAGTACATGTACAAAATGTACTTTCATTGAAAATGCTAAAAGAAATAATGTATAACATGTTCAAATGTATAATAAAATGAAGTTACAATATATCTGCCAAATTGCCTTCAATATTTTTATATGGCAAAATTGGCTTATTTTGATCTTTTAAAACAAGAACAACAGATCTAGACTTGCCCTGAAAAAAAATTAACTATATCAAAAGTATTAAATTATTTGAATGTTTTAATCCATCTTATGCATGTTATGTTTATTAAATCCATAGTCATGACTGTTGTATGAAGTGATGAATCAAAGTGGTTAAATCTGCTTTGTACAGATCTGATGTCAGATGAGTTGAGCAGTTTCACACCACTATCCCAGGTTAAGGAGCTACCATTTTATTTTATAGGGGGGAGGGGTAGGATGAAAAATTTTGTCCTGCATTTTTATTTTTCCACTCTATTCAGTCCTGTTTTTTTTTATTTATAGTTTATCCTGACAATTTTTTTACATCAATTGTCATCCTGCCTTTTTTTTTTGGCAAAGTGTCTCATCCTGCCTTTTTTCAAATTTCATCCTAGCCCCACCTCCCCCCACATAAAAAACAAATTATAGCTCCCTAAAGGGGAGGGTCTGGCACCAACAAACTAGTCTGACTCTACCACATTCTGTATGTGCCTGTCCCAAGTCAGGAGCCTGTAATTCAGCGGTTCAAGTTGTCGTTTGTTCACTTTGTTGCTGTATGTCATATTTGTTTATTTGTTCCTTGTTTTGTTTATAAATCATTATCAGTCTGTTAGTTTCCTCATTTGCATGGTTTTACATTTGTCATTTCCATTAAATGTCTTTTATAGCTGACTGTGGTATGGGCTTTGTTCATTGTTGAAGTCATCTTGTACCATAACTTATACTTGTTAACTTCTATGTCATTTGATCTCTGGTGGAGAATTGGACCCTTCTCATTAGCAATCTTACCACATCTTCTTATTTTTATATTCACATTTTAAGTAGATGTAAAGTAGACCATTCATGCACTCGACTAGGGTCCACATCTTATAATGTACAACAAGGTGATAAGACCTGCCGCTGTAATAGCCTGGTTCATATTTTTCAGCTTAAAAATATGTGAATTGGTGTGGAAAACTATCAGAAGTATAATACATGTATGTTAAGGCTGAGAATTACTAGATGTTTATTGTTATAGTACTCAGTAATAGTAGTCTCAGACTCAGGATAATTAAGGCTTATTGTACTTGTCATATGCAAATTTAAGCCCTGTAATTTTCTTAGTTGCAAGTCTTGTTTTGCCTTAAGGTAACATAAAATAAGGAATTTGAGCCTCAGATTTGAGCTTTAATCAAATGTGATGATTTTCTCGGTAATGCCGGAATGTGATTCTTGTCCACTCCTGTATGTCCTGGAATCACGTGCACTCATAATTAAAATTGGGAAAAGGTTACATGTACAATATTACCTACGCGATGTATGAAAAGGTATAATACATTTTTTAAATCTAAATTATATGAAAAAGGGGGAGTAATTGCTCCCCAGGGGCACCCCTATCTATTAAGTGTAAAATAGCTATTAAATGCTAGAGAGATAATAAGATATACAGGTCTGCATCAGTTAAAGTAATTAAGTTCTGTTGTGACATTAGATAAACAATTTCAATTACATCAAGTATAAGTCTACAGTCAAATAGTTTTTCGTGAAAAATAAACTTAGTGAAAGCACACACATCTTCTGCTTTAATCCAATAATTAAACAACATGTGCATAATGATATTTACCTTTCGTTGCGCTTTTAGGGTACGTAAAATTATCCATCAAAACAAAAACACTTTGACTTTCGTTGCGTTGACTTTCGTTTCATAAATTTTCTATATTTCGTTCCCCGGTTTCTTCCAGTTAATCGACAAGTCACCCATTTCAATTTATCTGTTTATAATAAATTTTTGATTCGCCAGTTTGAAAAACCAAAGTTCCTTGTATCATCTATCTCTGTCCATTCTTAAAAACTTTTAAAAAGACAGCAGCAGATGGTCGCGTGAGAGTCCATGGATTTTGCGTCATAGTATAAAAAACGGTAACGGTGAAAAGATTTCCGGGTTTTCGTGTTCGACGTACCATGCAAGCTTTCGTACATTTACGTATATTTGAGGGTCTGGAATCAAGATGGGGGTTTAAGAATAGAAAATAATGACATAAAGTGCAAAATAAAGAACAGATAGCAAAAAAAAGCAGAAATATAGAATAAAGAATCATAGAGAATAATGGGATTATCAATAAAAAAAAGAATTGAGAATAAAGAACAAACTAAAAAAAGAATATTTATTCATATTATTATTTAATATTTTATAACTCATTCACTTATTTTACATTCTGTTCAATTCAAAATTAGATAGCTCTGCTGTGGGGGTGACACTGACAGGGCTGACCTGCTTTCAGCATCATGATCATGTGGGATTTCGTGGGAAGAGTAGAAAGTGAACTTTCCTGTTTGAGAAATACGCTATATAGATAATAAATGAACAAATGTATGTGATAATTAAATGACAAATTTTGACATTTTCTTAAAACATTTTTTTTAATGTCCTTTAAAACATATGTAAACATATTCTATAAAACATATGAAAACATATGTTTGCTTCCATATGTTTTCATATGTTTCAAAACATATGTAAACATATGTTTTTCATATGTTTGGGACAAACATATGAAAAACATATGAAAATCATATGAAAATCATATGTTTTGAAAACATATGAAAAACATATGTTGCAATTTTTCCTGTGTAGTGTTACTCACCGGAGTGTACAATTTGTCGAAGTTATTCACCGGCCCTGTCGATTTGGATACAAATATCAGAATCGATTCACACCACGTGATATTTTATTAGACAATACATTGTTCAATAATTCTGTGAGGTAAAATGACATAAACGAATTCATAGAATATGACGTTTTAATAATAGTTCATGCGACACAAGGCTGTTGATCTAAACAAGAAAGAAACGTCAACCAGCAGTTGCATTGATTATTATATAGAAAGTGTGGAAAAAAATATTCATCGAAAAGTTATATAATGAGGAACCTTGATTTTTATTGTCATCATATTTGTTATGTCGGGTTATGTGTTTTTGATAAATAAACGACATTCTTATTGGAACTAACCAAGCTCCTCTTCTTGTAGACATTTTTTTTTTTTGGATTGATGCAGACTTCATACAGGAGCTTCGAAAATATAATCTTTCCTATTTCAAAAAAGTATTGTCCCATTTAAGGGTACATGTATTTTCACCCGAAGTACGGCGATTGCAGTGCAAACGTGTATGTTGAGAGTCATTTTGGGGTTTTGAACATCCGTAAACTACAACTTATTTGTCATTTTTTTTTTTCATTTTGAAAAGCATTCGACACATTTAAATGGTCAGTTTTTTGCAAACATCTCTTTTTTTTAAGATTCTGACTTATACCTGTCATCAATGGATACAACTACAGTTTACATACATACAGATTTTAATTTGGAAAGAAATAAACAAGTTTATTGTTCTATGATCATATTTACAAGGCGATCAAATAACACTTTCTACTTTGTCTTGTTTTCAGAACTAATTATTGCTACATTTTAATTTGACCCAATATTAAAGTCATATGAAACGAGTTTCTTGAAATTTTAATGTTATCAAACTTATTTTTGATGTTTCTGTTATGGTTTTTTTTTAATAATCTGTTATGTCTTATCGTTTGTTGTCCAAATATTTATACAATTGCATTTCAATACCACCATTGTCATATTCCCGAATATAACTGTTATACCGAGTGTGAATTTGCAATGCTATACGACGTGTCTCGGTATTTTGTACATCCAACATTCATGTATTATAAACTCCAAGGAAATTTCTAAACGTAAAGTCCCTTATCAAATGGCAAAATCAAAAGCACATCAAACACTTCAAACGAATGGAAAACAACTGTCATATTCCTGTCTTTGTACCTGAATGAATGCTTACATTTTTTACATTTTTTACATTTTGAAATTTATTTTTCTTTTAGTTTGATTGTCCCTTTGGTATCTTTCGTCTCTCTTTTACATCTCAGTAAACATGGTAAATATGATATTAGGGAAAAGTAGAAGGTCTGCTTCATATCTTGATATTTGTTTTACCCGATATTGACACAGATAGACGAATTTATACTATAATTTATGATAAACGTGATGATTTCCATTTTTTTATTGTCATTTTTCCATCTCTCAGCAACAATGTACCCTCTGCTCAGTCGTTTGTTGTTTGCATATCTAGGTTAATACGTCACGCTGGTGTATGCTCGAACTGTACTGACTTCGATAACGATACCATGTATTGTAAAGACCTGCATTTATAAGTCTTCAAACGTATCGAATTAACATTCACGAAAATGTTTTATATTAATACTTTTTATAGTATTAGTCAGCGAAATAAAATTGAAAAAAATACCTATTTGAATAAAAATTGCATCGTGAAGGTAGTTATGTTTCGCATTTAAACAAAATTCTTCGACATTTTGCAACTAAATCGCAAGCTTTGCAATGTCATAGTACATAAAATATTCTACTACTGACTATCATGTTAAATGTTTAATAGACAGTGTAATGTTCTTTTAGATGTCCATGGTAAATTATTGTATTCAGAAATGTTAGTGTCACGTATGAGATTATTCATGTTGCAGATATGATTCCTTTGTTTTGTTCTGTATTTTAATTATCAATTACCTATTAACCATAGTTCTAAGAAACGATTAGATTTTGAATGATAGACATGATTATTCCAAAAGTTATATTACACTGGTGAGTACTTTATATCCTGGTAAATTATGATATAATATAAATAGGAAATATCTCTAAATTATGATATAATATAAATACAAGCTATCTCTAAATTCTGTTTTCCAGTTTTATTTCTTTACATTATTTCTTTTAAACAGGAACAAACAATTCATATTTCCACAATATAACTTTAAAATGAAATGATAAAAAAATAAGATTGCATGCATTAATTTGAAGGCAAAAAGATGTGCGTACAATGTCCAAAAGAGAGTTAGCCTTAGTGTTAAGTTTGTGTGGTTAAATTTTCTTTCTCGTACAATTTTAACAAGTGTATGTACACTTTTAATTAGTAAGTGTCCAGCTCTTCGGTTTGATACAAACAAAAAGAGGAAGATGGCTATTGAAAATGTCGCTCTGTTATCGTAATTTTCTATCTTAGAGTTTCAAGTTGAAGAAATTGAAGAAATTATTTTTCGGAAAATTAATTTAAACTTCCTTATAACAGGACGTTTACTCTATACTATTATGTTATAATTAAGTGAATGATGGGGAAAAAGTATTTGTATTCAGTAGATACATACATAAATACATATATGAAGTACCTGCAACTTAAGATATACATGCTTGATCCTAAGTACTGGTATATATAACCCTCACCCGATGAAAAGTCAAAAAGTGTTTTACATATTTGGAGTATCTACAACTTAATACGTAAAAGAAAGGCGAAAGATACCAGAGGGACATTCTAATGCATAACGCCTAGAAAGTAAGTCTGTTGCTTACATGATTTTAGTCGTTATTCCTAAACCCTAGGCAATAATCTAACGCCTAGACAGTAAGTCTGTTGCTTAAATGATGTTAGTCGTTATTCTTAAATCCTATGCAATAAACTAACGCCTAGACAGTAAATCAGTTGCTAAAATGATGTTAGTCGTTATTCCTAAATCCTAGGCAATAATTTAACGCCTAGACAGTAAGTCTGTTGCTTAAATGATGTTAATCGTTATTCCTAAATCCTAGGCAATAATATAACGCCTAGACAGTAAGTCTGTTGCTTAAATGATGTTAATCGTTATTCCTAAATCCTAGGCAACAATCTAACGCCTAGACAGTAAGTCTGTTGCTTAAATAATGTCGGTCGTTATTCTTAAATCCTAGGCAATAAGCTATTATATTATAATTAAGTGAATGACGGGGGAAAAGTATTTGTATTCAGTAAATAAAAACATAAATACATATATGAATTACCGGCAACTTAAGATATACATGCTTGATCCTAAGTACTGGTATATATAACCCTCACCCGATGAATAGTCAAAAAGTGTTTTACATATTTGAAGTATCTACAACTTAACGCGTAAAAGAGAGGCGAAAGATACCAGAGGGACATTCAAATTCATAATTCGAAAAAAAACTGACAAAAAAACAAAAAGACCAACAGAAAACTAAAGACTGAGCAACACGAACCCCACCAAAAACTGGTGGTAATCCTAAATGCTTGATCGGAACTGATAGGATCGATGAATGATTGGTAACTGATAAATGAATGATCGCTAATCAATGACCAATAGCTAATTTTAAGTAATGTCGGAGTGAATCATCACACTTAACGGTAAAACAGAGATGTTGTGTCTTCGAGAATGTTTTCATTTAAAAGCATTTGTACCGGTGTTTAAGGGCATCCGATACGGTTTCAAGGGAGTCACCTCTTGGTACGACGTTCACGGTTCGAATTATTCCAAAACGTCACTTTCGACGGGACGTCATGCGTGTGATGTTATGTATCAAGTTTAAATCATAGGCAATGATCTAACGCCTAGACAGTAAGTCTGTTGCTAAAATGATGTTAGTCGTTATTCCTAAATCCTAGGCAATAAGCTAACGCCTAGACAGTAAGTATGTTGCTTAAATGATGTTAGTCGTTATTCCTAAATCCTAGGCAATAATCGAACGCCTAGACAGTAAGTCTGTTGCTTAAATAATGTTAGTCGTTATTCTTAAATCCTAGGCAATAAGCTAACGCCTAGACAGTAAGTCTGTTGCTTAAATAATGTTAGTCGTTATTCTTAAATCCTAGGCAATAAGCTAACGCCTAGACAGTAAGTCTGTTGCTTAAATAATGTTAGTCGTTATTCTTAAATCCTAGGCAATAAGCTAACGCCTAGACAGTAAGTCTGTTGCTAAAATGATGTTAGTCGTTATTCCTAAATCCTAGGCAATAAGCTAACGCCTAGACAGTAAGTATGTTGCTTAAATGATGTTAGTCGTTTTTCCTAAATCCTAGGCAATAATCGAACGCCTAGACAGTAAGTCTGTTGCTTAAATAATGTTAGTCGTTATTCTTAAATCCTAGGCAATAAGCTAACGCCTAGACAGTAAGTCTGTTGCTTAAATAATGTTAGTCGTTATTCTTAAATCCTAGGCAATAAGCTAACGCCTAGACAGTAAGTCTGTTGCTTAAATAATGTTA